AATTAACTATAAGTTTACATCTTAAAATTTTAGTGATATAAAGTTTTATTTGTGTACTAACATTATTATTATATATATAATATTACACGTTGTATGGGTGATATTTAAGAAGCAGGTCAGCAGGCATAGCCCGGGGTACACATAAATAATTACAGTGGACCCCCGCATAACGATCACCTCCGAATGCGACCAATTATGTAAGTGTATTTATGTAAGTGCGTTTGTACGTGTATGTTTGGGGGTCTGAAATGGACTAATCTACTTCACAATATTCCTTATGGGAACAAATTCGGTCAGTACTGGCACCTGAACATACTTCTGGAGTGAAAAAATATCGTTAACCGGGGGTCCACTGTACATAAATTATCATACATAGCAGCATGTGTGTAGATTACCTAGGATAAACCCAAAATAGACAAGGTGACTTATTTCCAACAGGGTGGTCTTTCTTAGGCTTTCTAAAGCTCTCGCTTCACACAGCAAGGGTCGATTCCCAGCGAGGGTAGAAACATTGGGAGTGTTTCTTTACACCGGTTGTCTATGTTCACCCATCAGTAAAATGAGTACCTGGGTGTTAGTGGACTGGTGTGGGTTGCATCTTGGGACAAAAATGACCTAATTTGACCCCTAGTACCCCTCAAGGGAGGTTCTTTGATGCTGGTGAGGGGCTCTTGATCTAGGGAATTGGATCTGTGCTCCAGTTCTTTGAATTAAACTTGAATACTATCCCCCACATTATTACAGTGGACCCCGCATAACGATCACCTCCGAATGCGACCAATTATGTAAGTGTATTTATATAAGTGCGTTTGTACATGTATGTTTGGGGGTCTGAAATGGACTAATCTACTTCACAATATTCCTTATGGGAACAAATTCCGTCAGTACTGGCACCTGAACATACTTCTGGAGTGAAAAAATATCGTTAACCGGGGGTCCACTGTATTATTATTATTATTATTATTATAAAAAAGAAGCGCTAAACCACAAGGGCTATACAGCGTTGCTCCCCCACATGCTGTATAATCCTACAGGTTTACCGCTAAAGCAAACTTATGACACTGAGCTTAACTCTAGCATCATTACTGATTTATGTCATCGTTGAAGGCTCTTGACTCCTATAATGACTCCAACAACATGCTCATTGGAGAAGCCAGGTATAGACACTCAAAAATCAGGGACAAAGGAATTAATGTACAATTGCTATGGATCCCATCACACATTCGACTACTTCTTCATGATAAAGTTGATATGTTAGCCAAGAAGAGTACCCTGAAGGAGAATGTAGAATATAACTTTGGTATATCTGTGTCTAGCATTAGGAATAATATTAGGAGAGAAGTAAATTGTTACAGGAATGCAGTTAGAAGCCTGAGTAGATCTATAACCCACTATGATAACATGAACGTAGATAAGTATGTTTATGGAGCAACTTGCAATGTGAACAGACTGACTGATGTTATAGTGGCCAGGCTTAGGCTTGGTTACAAGTACTTCTGGCAGTTTGGGAGACACACAGATGATGATCAAACTAAATGCAAATTATGTGATCAGGCATATGGTCACTGTCTTGAACACTATGTGCTTAATTGTCCACTTATTGAGGAATACAGAGATACAGTATAATAACCTATGTGACATGTCAAGATATCTTATTAATGAAAATAAGATACCAGATATAATAAGCAAATTTCCTAAATTTGCTTGTAACAGATAAGTGAACTGTAGATATGTAGATATAAACCCATATATGTATACACCTGTTAACCCTTTTGGGGCCTAGTTCCTAGGCCTTGTGTGTATCCATATGCTCTTGCACTGCTACCAACAGGGTGGATATAGGGTGCACAATAAACTAGCCACTTTGGTGGCAAAATCTAATCTAAAAAATCTAGGCCTGACTGCCTACTGTGTAAGTGTTCTAGACCTGACTGCCTATTGTGTAGGTGTTCTAGACCTGGCTGCCTACTGTGTAGGCATTCTAGACCTGGCTGCCTACTGTGTAGGTGTTCTAGACCTGGTTGCCTATTGTGTAGGTGTTCTAGACTTGGCTGCCTACTGTGCAGGTGTTCTAGACCTGGCAGCCTACTGTGTCATAGATGTTCTAGACGTGGCTGCCTACTGAGATCAACCAGACTGTTACTACTAGCTGCACGTAGACCAATGTATGAACCACAGCCCAGCTGGTCAGGTTGGGTAGTTTTAAATTTAGGTTGGATAAGTACATGAGCGGGAGGGGTTGGATTTGAGAATTGGGTTGGTCAAATGTTTGTTAGTGGGATGAATTGTAAAGGACCTGCCTAGTATGGGCCAACAGGCCTGCTGCAGTGTTCCTCCTTTCTTATGTTCTTATGTATTATAATTTTAAAGTACGTAATTTACAGCAGTTAGGTATCCCTGAAAACTTTAAATGGTACTCAGTGTTTTTTTCTTCCTCCAACTTTTTAATTTTATTCTACTCACAACTTAAGAACACCTCATCCAGTTGGCTTCAAATTTTCAACCCTTGTGCATGGTGATGAGGACCAGACTGCTGGAACAATTGGGATGTTCATGATGCGTCCTACGACCAGAGTTGTTGAATCCACTCCCAGAATCCTGGGATGGTTCTGATAACTACCAAAATCCTCAGTAGCAGAGCTTTGAACATTAAAAATTATTATTATAATCAAAAACTAAGTGCTGAACCCACCCCAGTCATACAGCATGCTACTGAATATTAAAAAAAACAAAGCTGCCTCCTAATTCAATGATGGCAGAGTGAAATTCAAGTGTGTAGGCACAGATTTGATTATTTGGTATGTAAAACAGTGTAATTAGTATTTTACTACATGTAAACCACACAATAACCAAATTCTGTAAACTTAGCATTGTAATCCTTATAGAGAATAAACTTCAAATTTGAATTTGAAAGTGCAGGTAAAGTTGTTAATGTAGTAAAATAGTTAAAAGCTTGGAATCATCGTAACCTGTACTAGAACTGGAGAATGATCCTTTGACTTTAGAGATTTTGCGACTGGTATGGTTTCCTGAACACAAGATTCATGCTGCTATTGGCTGGTATAAGTCCCTATTTGCCAGTTTTATTAATAGTGATATACAGTTCTATTCAGTATCTAAAGAATTCTTCCTGACTTCAAAATATTAATAGTGATAAGTTTAGTGATTAGGTGCAAATTTGAAATTTTTCTGAAATTGTTTAAAAACCTGGAATTGTCAGAATCAGATGAATTATTGGAGAATACCTTTTTAGACCGGCTTCAAACTTTTACTTTTGGTGGCCTTGATTAAAGCTCAGGTTGTCATTTCTTTGAGGTATGTAAATTTCAGTTTTCTTAAATAGTTTCCCATGTGCTAAGTAAAAAATGCCTCTTCTGACTGGCTTCAAACCCTAAACACTAGTATATCCTAAATGGAAGTATTTTTGTATTGATTTTGGGCCAATTTGTCAATTTTTGTAAAACCCATTTGAATTTTCTTAAAAATAAAAATATTTGTTTTTATAGGATTGTAGAGAATTTCAAGTCGAATATAAATGAGAAAACAAAACTGCAAAAAAAAAAAAAATTGCATTTTTAAGACATTTTTAAATTTAGTGAGAATATACTTTTCTATTTTTGGAACATTTCCCAGTATCATTTTTAGTTTCTTTTCCTAAATTTCTGCTTATAAATCAAGAATGCCTTATTCAATCACCTACAAATTTTCATGCTGATGGACTGTATCTAGCATCTTCAGCTCACACACTGAGGGTCCAGGGATTGATCCTGGCACGGGTGAAACATTGAGCATGTTTCCTTACACTGCTACCTCTTTTCATCTAGCAGTAAGTAGGCACCCGGATGCTAGTTGACTGTTGTGGGTCGCATCCTGGAGACAAAATTAACTTTAGTGAGCGTGACCACTCACATCACCTTCAGATGGATGTGAACACTCAGAACACCTTCAGCCACAGACAAGCCAAATTTTGTATTTCAATGTACCGAGTTTGATTTTTTTTACTGACAACACTGTGTTCTGCTTTCATATTATATATGTGGGAAGTATTAAACCTGTAAGGGTCCTGCTGTTGCCTGGGGAATGACAAATAATAATGTTTGATGCAAGGAGAGGAGGGTAGCTCCAGTCCCTAGGGTCAAGAGTCCTCCTCCTTCCTTCTCAAGGTACTCAAGTTGTTGACTATAGGTATATATATATAGGTTAGTAAATCAACTTCAATTCACCTGCATTTTTTTTATTAAAACATCTGTGTAAATAAGATGAAAATATGAGGCTTGAAAGACACAATGACATGACATTGTACATCACATACAATCAATAATACAGTGACATTATACATCAAATGCAGTCAATAATATGTCAATTTTATTTTCAATTTTTATTTTAAGAAATAAAACCATGCTACTCTGCTTAAAAAAAAATTAGTTTTTGAAGTTTAATTAAAATGCCCTGTAAACCTTAGTAACTTTTTACACTCAATTTGCTCTTTATTTTCCAGAGTATTTCTTAATAACTTAAATTCCTTAACATATCTTTTCCAATTTAGGTCCAGTCTATGATTGGGTCATAGGGACGATGATCCCAGAACTATTAACTGATTGCTCAGGGCTTGGTCTGTGACCAGGCTGTAATGTTCAAGGTATCAGTATACCTCTAGGAAAATAGTAGTGAAGGCATCTGCATGTCCGGGTTATGTATTGGGAAAGAAAGAGGGTGGTGGAATTAAGTGATCTAAGCCTCTGTACAGAGTCAGTAATAAACATGACCACCAGCTACCCCCCATCAAGTAAACATACTGACTCACGAAATCGTAATGACACGATTGCAAACAAACCATACCCCGGCCGGGATTGAACCCGCGGTCAGAGAGTCTCAAAACTCCAGCCCGTCGCGTTAGCCACTAGACCAGCTAGCCACAATAAGATTGTGGCTAGCTGGTCTAGTGGCTAACGCAACGGGCTGGAGTTTTGAGACTCTCTGACCGCGGGTTCAATCCGGCCGGGGTATGGTAAGTAAACATACTGTTTTTAATCTACAGGTCTTGACCAACCTCACAAACTCTCCACACATGTATAAAATAAGTACAGTGGACCCCCGGTTAACGATATTTTTTCACTCCAGAAGTATGTTCAGGTGCCAGTACTGACCGAATTTGTTCCCATAAGGAATATTGTGAAGTAGATTAGTCCATTTCAGACCCCCAAACATACACGTGCAAACACACTTACATAAATACACTTACATAATTGGTTGCATTCGGAGGTGATCGTTATGCGGGGGTCCACTGTATATACACACAATCAATGCATTTGGTAAAAAAAAAACTAGCTTAGAAAAAACATTTATAAACCAGCCTTATTGAACACTGATACAATCTTGCTCACTGAAGTAATATTTCCATAGTCATGAATAGTCCCACTATTCAGAAGCAAATATGGTAACTACAGATCACTGTAAATTGGGGCCTTACTGTACATACGAGGGTTCATCTGTAAGTGAGCTACAGATATGCATGAGGCATGGTCTGAGATAGGCTTCACGGTATAATGATACCCAAAATTATTAAGATATAACAAAAAATTGTACTTACATAAAAAATGCATTTTATCACTTCATGTGCACAATTAAATGCAGCATGTAGCATCCATAGCATGCATTAATGGTGACAAGAATGCCTACCAACACTAGCATTGAGGTCATGAAGAAGTAAATAGCCTAAATTATTTTTTCTTCACAAATTCATTTGTCCAGGTTAATTTTGTCCCTTCCACTTCAACTTTCTCATAGTACCATTTCCTGTGTATCCTGGAATGAAAGGCAGAGATTAATTAGTGTATGTGAAGGGCTACTGTATTAATGATTACTGAACTTTCCTCCATAAACAAACTGTTCTATCTCTCGCATTGCTTAATTGAGCAAAAAATTTCTTTATTTTAGTTTTTGAAAAAAAAAAAGTATAATCCTAATTTCTAACATCAAATGTGTGTGCATATAATGCAGAGAATCCGTAGTTTTGGAAGTTAGGACGTGAGTGATTACCAAAATGTTGTCCACAAGTGTCTGAGGAAAGGGTTTGTTGATGTGGTTCGGATCTTAAGTGAAATTGAGAATCGAATTGATCTGTCCGATGAAGCTTTTTACTGACAATATGGCGGTTTGTATGGTGTCCGCCAAGAGGGTTGGAGGGAGGGGTTTAAAGGGGGTTTATGCTTGTCAGAGGTCTTTGGACTTCCAGCAGGCATTGCTTGAGCGAGTTTGATACGGTGAATTGGAAACAAATGGTTTAATAATTGAGTGTGTTGGAGTTGTGAGACAAAGTAACATTTATGAAGGGATCCGTAATAGCAGGCCGACTTGAGTCCTGAAGATGGCAGTACAGTGCCTGCATCTAGAGGAAGGTTTTAAGGTTGCAGTTTAAAAATGTAAAGTGTAAACTCCTTCTGCCAAGAAAGATGGAGTGATGATGTGAAAAGTTTTCTTTTTAGGGCACCCCTGCCTTGGTGGGAATCAGCCGGTGTGATAATAAAAAAAAATAAAAAATCAAAAATAATAATAAAAGTTCCTCGGCTAGTGATTAATCCTCACACTTCATAAACTCATAACCTATCCGTCTCTATCTTCCAGGAACCCTATCTTTATGTAGTTGACCCTATCTTGAATTGTCTACAAATTTTTCAGATATGCCACAAATTCTAAAACAAGACACTTTTCTCTAATTATGGTTAGGATTCCATTAACTGTTTCTATTTAAATTAGAGTATTTCTTTTAAAGTTTGCCCTGTTGAACTATTTTACACTGACACACTTATTTCCCTTTTTTCTTTTATCCTGCTTCAAATTTCTGAACTGCTCCTGCAATTCTTGTTTGTTGCTAAATGACTTGTCAATATGGCAACTTTTATTTTATGGCTCTGGAAATATTTTCTATAAAACAAACAAGTTTGGTTGACCTGGGAAATTGTATGTGTAAACACAGTACAAGGAGATAGTAGGAAATAGCAAGTATCCCTGCAAACAAGAAATGAAAAACATGTAGCAGAAATCCTTTATATTAGATAGCATTTTATCCTAAATAAAGCTTTAGCAGGTCTGTACAGACTTGATTAAGCTCAATTTAGGGCACTACACTGTGTAATAAATAAAGCCTTCTTTTATACTTGCATTTTACATACCCACAAAAAGACAGGCAGGGTACACCTGGACAGAACAATTACCATATGTTAAAGAATTTACAAGCACTACCTCAAATATCGGCAATATACAAGCAATTTGTTCGGTGTGGTGCGTTGTGATGGTTTTGTGTGTGGCACTGTGGTGTGTACTCAACAATACAGTGGAACCTCGGTACTTGAACAGCTCCATACTAAAACAATTCGGTATTCGAATGCTGTGTTCAGTAAACAAATCACTTGGTAGTCGACCATTTGCTTGGCACTTGACCAAGCAAACATGACCTGCCAGAACTTCGCTGTAAACTATTTTGTGTTTCTTTGTATTTTTTGGTGTTTTTTATATTATTTGTATAAATACATCACCATGGGGCCTAAGAGGGTTAGTGATAACAGCCAACCAAAAAGAAAATTGGTTGGGAAAAATTTGTTCTGTACTTGAACAGATCAGCACTTAACAGCCTTCTGGACAGTTTGAGTGCCACAGTTCCACTGTATGTGGTTGCAGTTGTAAAGTCTTACCTCTTGGTCCTGTCTCTCAACTTGCTGCTTACCAGATTCACTCCCTCCTAGCCCCATGGGCCCTATCAGTGCTCCTTTCTTCTTATGAGTGAGTGTAAATTGGACTGGCCTAGCTTGGGCCAGTAGGCCTGCAGCAGTGCTCCTTCCTTCTTATGAGCAGGTGTGAGTTGGACTGGCCTAGCAAGGGTCAGCAAGCCTGCAGCAATGCTCCTTTTTATGAATTGGTGTGGCTTGGACCTTCCTAGCAAGGGTTAGTAAGCTTGCAGCAATGCTCCTTCTTTCTTATGCTCTTATAAGCAAGTTTAATTTAGACACAGTAAAATGAGATAGCTCTTACACAGAAAATTGCTTGCTACATAAATATAACTATATAAATTTTAAATTCATACCTGCACTCATTACCACATTTTGCAGAGCCACATTTGGGGCAAGGGTAGTGGCACCCGGGACAGAGACTCTGCAAACAGTCACACAAGTCTTTGCCGGAATAAACAATTGAACCATCGGATCCATGACAGTATTGCTGATTCTGGGCTTTGGTCCTGCAAGATATAAGTAATACTGTTAAAACCTGTTAGCCAAACATGAGTTATGGAAATGGGAAGTATGGGAGGGACAGAGATGTTGCTAGTGAGAACCTTATTTGAATAGTTTGCACAAATGAATGATGGTGAGTGTGTTCCATTGATGAAGAATTAGACACATGTGCACCACATGGTTATCATGCTAACTCCTGGCCCATTCCTTGGGTATGACCTACTTCCACTTGCAGCAACAATGCCTTCATCTGCTGCATGTCCCTCATCTGTTGCCAGGATATAAGCGCCAATCTTCATGCCTGTGCTTTGGATTTTTCAAGACAAAGGTGTTCTTCACCAACTCCAAGGCTGAGGGACTGATTATGTCATTTTTGTATATAGTTCCACAGTCTTCACATTGTGTCGCTGTACTGTATTGATAAAGCCACTGGATGGCGAAACTTCTACAAATAAAGATACCCAGATGTTTCACATGTGTTGAATTCTTTATCTTATAGGTATTGTATACCATACATGTACTTGTATTCCTTTCACTGGGTCATCTTGCTTTGGTAAGAAATGGTCAATGCTTAAAAAAAAAATTATAGCTCTAGAAATTGTTGATATAATAGGCTATGTGGGTGGCTGAACAGTAGTAATCAATGAAAAAAAATATTTCTTAAGACCAAGAAGCTATTTACTGATTAAATATTTGTATTTTCACACTTGCAGTGTACACTGAAAATGATGAGATAACTGAGATGGAAGTGTTGTGGTAATAAATTACAAGAATTATGAAGATTCAAGTTTTACCCTCCCTCCCATAATAAATACACAGTACATCTGTTAATAATTATTCAAAAAATATAATTATTTTTATTTCGCCATGGAGAAGTGGAAAAGAATTCTTCTGTAAGCCGTGTGTCGTACGAGGCGACTAAAATGCCGGGAGCAAGGGCCTAGTAACCCCTTCTGTATAAATTACTAAATTTAAAAAAAGTAAAATTTTCATTTTTCTTTTAGGCCACCCTACCTTAGTGGGATATTGCTGGTTCATTTAAAAAAAAAGAATTTTTTATTTGTAAACTACATATTAAGACTCAAATGCACTTACCAGTATGAAATGTGTTTCATTTCATTTTTACTGTTTTTCTTCTATAACCTTCATGATACCTCCCTGACATGGATAAAATTTCAAGTACGTATTTTTATTTTATTTAGCAAGGTGAGTTACCTTTCTCCTATTCCTTTTCATTTCAGCGAGCTCAGTGCTCTTTATCTACATTACGTACCTGTGACTGGTTTCAAAGCTTATTCTACCCTCGCAACCTGGCCTGAGGCCAGTCTTCCTTGTTGATTACTTGATCAACTAGGTTGTTGCAGCTAGCAGCCAGCTGCCTTTCATAATCATCACAACCTGGTTGATCTAACACTTGGAGAAGGGGGTTGTCTAGTTTCCTTTGGAAACCTTTAACTTTTGATCCAGCTGCTCCTGTAAATTGTCAATGACAGTAATAAAATAACAAAGAATAGTAAAACAATCCTTTCACCTCTGCTCTCAGATCCAACTCTGAGAAGCTCTCAAAGGCAGATACGAATTACAGACAAAAATCAACGTGTAATCTACCAGTAAAATAAAAAATACAGTGGACCCCTGCTTAATGACCTAGATAGGGACTGGAGGAATGGTTCTTCAAGTGAAAAATGTATTAAACAACTTGTATTTTCCCACAGAAGCCCATGTAACTTGAGGTGGGGCCCCAAAACGATAATATTTTGTTATCGAATTCTTATTAATTTTTCAATGGTGAAATTTAATACAGTAGATCAATTAACATGTGACCTATTAAACATTTTTTCTGAGTTAACATCATTATAAAAATTGCAGAATATTTTCTCTGAACAAGTCATATTTATCACATAACACAAAGCAAATGTTGGGGATGATATGGCACACTATGGACTCATTTCCCTCCATCCCACAGTAAGTTTGTGGGTGATTCCACTGTCTTACAGGGGATGCCTACTTATGTACATAACCTCTCTCTCTCGTCTCGGTGCTCTATTTGTACTTGACCAATACCAGAGTTAAATTATTTTTTTATCTTATCATCATTCCATCTCATCTCTGGATAGTAACCAGGGAACCCAAGAGGAATGAGTGATCTCTGTGGTGCAAAGAAGCATAAGTGTGAAAATATTGGTGCTTTCAAGAAAACAGAGATATTAGAAAAGCTTAAAAGTGGTACAAGTGTGATGGAGACAGCAAGAGCCTATGGCTTGAATGAGGCATCAATTCACACAATTAGGAAGAATGAGGCATGGATATAAGCTTGTGCAATGAGTAACCTAGGTTATGACCTGAAAAGAATGGAAACAGGCCAATGCAGCTAGATAAGATGGAAATGAGAACCAAGAAAGGTGCATCACTTAATTTCAGCTTAATAAGGAAAAAACCTTAGAGTATTATAAAAGTGTGTAATGAGGAAGGAAGGCCTGAACAATAATTTTCCTGCTGAATTGCAAGAAATTATTTCTGAGAGTGGCTATGAGCCACAGCAAGTGTTTTATGCTGATGAGAGAAGACTTATTGGAAGAAGATTCCACTGAGAACTTACATCCATCAGCAAGAGAAAAGGGCTTCAGAGTTCAAGGCAGAAAAGGAACTCTTCAGTTTGCTTCTTTGCAGTAACACATCAAGTGATTTTAAGAGTAAGCCTAGGATTATTTACCAGTCTAAGACTCCCTGTGCTTGAAAGGTACAGATGAAGCCACCTTACCAGTTATTTGGAGGTCAAGCCAGTGTGGATGACAGAGAAGTCATTAGTTGGCTGGTTTAAACATCACTTTATTCTGGAAGTCATGCTGTACCTGCAAGCCAAGAACCTTGTATTCAAGGTTCTCTTTATTCCTGATAATTCCTACACTCATTCAGAACTCTTGGAGCACATGCATCTACATGTAAGTTGCATTTTTGCCACCAAAAACAATATATTTAATACAACCACTGGACTGAGGAGCTATTAAGAAATTTTGTGATTACATGCAAAAAGTGATGTAGAAACTTGTTGGAGCAATCGATGACTCAGGCCTGGCAGTGCTAGACTTTTGGTATAAATTTAACATTGCAGGTGCTATCAGCTATGTCAAAAGTGCATGGAATGAAGTGCCCCAATCAATATCAAACACAAGCTGGGAAAAGTTATGGCCTAGTATAGTGAATACTTTCACAGGCTTTTCCTCAGCTGAGTGCCAGGTGCAAGAAAATGTTCAGCTGGCAAGGAGATTGCTAGGCGAGGGATTTGAAGATGTAAGAACATAAGAATGGAGGAACACTGCAGAAGGCCTACTGGCCCATACAAGGCAGGAAGATGATGTGAATGAGTTCTTAGAAGATGAAGAGGAAGAACAAAACCCAGAAGAAATGTTGGCAGAGCTCAGTGTCAGATACAAGGCAGGTAGATAACAGAAGAAGATGAGAAAGAAGAACCTGAAGAAACATTTAACAATATAACAGATATGTGAGCAGTTCCATGTAGCTGCTAAAATTGATGATGCCTTACCATCAACTGTATAAAGTATTGCAGGGTAAAACAAGCCAGTGATGTATTACAGAATCCCTCAATACTCCAGTACAACCATCAATATCTGTGCAAGAACCTCAGCCATCCACCTCAGCTAATGATCCACAACCTTCTACCTCAGCCCAGTAGGGCCACAACATCCCTCTCCACTCCTATCAAAATCATCAACATACACCAGAAACCAGAATTTAAGGTAAGAAATATATATATGATTTTTGTAGCTAAAAGTATTTTATTAACTCATTAACTGTCCAAAGATGGATCTACATTTTCACTGATAGTACTCAGAATATTTTTATTTTTTTTAAACAAAGGGAGCAATCTTCTGTGTATAATAAGACCAAAAAAAAAAAAAAAAAATTAAGGGCAGTACTTTTCGAGATATAAGGTAGCAAAGTTGGCACTGGATGCTCATGTGATGACAACATGGAGTCTTGCCTCTTCAGAAATGTTGCCGATATGCTTTTTCTCGTTTTTAATTGTATATAATTTTTGTTCTGATAATTACAATTTATAGTAGTTCTTGTGATTTTATAGCCAATCTTTGTTCTGACACTAATATTAGGTACAGAAATAGTAATCAGAGTCACAAACACAATGACAGGTGAACATGTTCACCTGCCTCAGTCACATACTATTGTCTAGTAATGTATACAAATTATTTATAGGTCCTGGCAATGTCTTTAGAACTACCGCAGTATACGAAATTCCTCGAAGCACAGTGTTAGACAAGTGTCATTACACACTGCTGATGGTGCAGTCACTCAATAATGCTGATTGTGCACTGCTCCCAGTGAACCTTGGACTACGTTTTTTTTATTTTTTTCTCACTGTTCCACACATAAACATGTCTCTCTCTCTCTCTCTGTCTCTGCTTGTCTCTCTTTGTCTCAGAGAGAGCTGCTCATGAACCAACAAGTATTAAGCATGTTGCAGAAATGTCATGTCTGAGCAAGTGAATATGCATATTACTGGCCACAGTCATGCTAATGCCTCATATTTATAAACACAGTATAGCAAATTGTCTGGCTTTTTTGGGTTATCCTATGTATGATAACTGTATTCATGTGTACCTGTGCCTAAATAAACTTATGTAGTCCTTGATTCTGTTGAAGGGATACCTGTCATTCAAGCAGTTACATTTGCTTGGTATATATTTCTTGAAGGACAGGCATCCCTTGAACAGAATCAAGGACTAAGTTTATTTAGGCACAGGTACACATAAGTACAGTTATTATACAGTGTAAATTACCTAGGATAATTCATAAAAGCCACACGGTATATGCATGACTGTGGCGAGTAATACACATTTTGGCCACAGTTGTATGTTTCCATTTGTGCAGATGTGATGATTGCGTAACTAGTGTAAGACCTGGTCGAACGTCTAGCTGACTATCAGGTTCATGAGCAGCTCTCTCTCAGAATGAGAGAGAGACAGCCAACCGGCCAGCCAAACACGTATTACACATGTTGTAGAAACATTTCTCTTTACTTAGGGCATGGATGACAGGATATTCTGCCAGGAAAGGATGTTTAACAAATGTTGCATATGCATTATTATCTAGTTTTTTTTAATATTTCCTCAACCACTTGAGGCCACATCCATCTCACAGTCACTAATCTCAGGATCAATGTCACTCTCCTAAAAGGAGAGTGTTAGTATGACATGGCATTAGTGAATCCCTGGAATTTGCCACGCTGTTTGCTCTAGCTCGCACTCAATTGAACTGGTACTCCCACAAGGTACTAAGTGGTCCCAAATTTTTTTAATACTGTATACAATGAGTTTTAAGACCCATTCTGTACTGCCTAGGCCTCTCAGGCCTATTGCACCAAATTTGAAGGCAGGAAAAATAAAATGTCTATCTATGTTTGGTGGGCTAGCAGTAAAAACGTAGAACTACATATGGACAGTAAAAGGGTTCAAAATAAAACATCACTGCATCCACATACAATAACATTATTATCATTTATTTTTACAATTTCAAGACTAAAAAATTTGACTTTTTTTGGGGGGGTCCAATGAATGTAGCTTTATTGTTCCATAGGGCTTTCAGATCATTTTACACGATTTTTTAAATTGCACACCATTTTCAAGAACGTAACTCCCGTGTTATTCGACTGTCAACTGTCATTATGTACTTACCAGCGATGGCTCCATTGCTTAGTAGAGGCATAGTGCTGTTGTACCCCAGTTTCATGAGTGCATAACACAAAAAAAATTTAAATTGTCTACAATATTGACAAGTATCATATTGCATTTTTGTTATTGTTTAATTAAGGGTTGCGATAGCTTCTGGGGATGTGACAGTTCTTCACCCATCACAACCCTTCAACTCAACAACAATAAAAAACTAGGTGATACTCCTCTTGGCATTTAATAATTTTTTATATTTTCTTGTGTCATGCAACTCCTACAGCATCATTATGCCTCTCTTAAAAAATGGGCCCCATCGGTGGTGAAGGAAGGGAGGAGTGGTGGGGGGTACAGTATGTAATCCGACATCACTCCTCCTTCCCAGACATGACCAGAACCTATCTTTCCTGGGGTGATAAACAATTCACATATATATATTTATATATTGTATATATACTGTAAATTATCCCCATTTTCCTCACATTTTAACTGATGATGCAGAGGATATTAAAGCACTGTGTGTGTTGACTGCTGAAGCAGGAAACTGCTGATTTAGTCCCATCTGTTGAGACCTGTGAGGTGATAAACAATATATTTATAAATATTATATCCGATTGTTGTATGAACAGAAGCGGTCATTAAGAGGGGAGGGTACATGGTCGGTAGCCTGGTAACTGGTCGTTGTACGAGCAGGTGGTGGTCGTTAAGTGGGGGATGAGTCTAAAGTTTTTTTTGGGCTGTAATTCGAAATTACTTTATGCAAACGGTCATTAAGGAGGGTCTACTGTATTTGAGGAAGTGATTCACAAGTAGTTGATGGGGCCAAACACATAGTTGTAGTTGTATTGAAATTCGCAAATACAGAAAAATTGGTATCTGTATTTAGAAAGAAATTAAACATAAGTTTGTATTTAACTTGTATGTACTTGAAATACAGTTTAGATGCCATACCATAATTACTTATCCAAAATTGGGTAATCTCTTACTTAATCCTATTGTAACTTGGCAATATATTTATACAGTACGTATTTATCCACACCAGCTTCCTCTGCTCCTGTGGAAAACACTTTATTATTATTAACAAATTGGCTGTTTCCCACCAAGGCAGGGTGGCCCAAAAAAGAAAAACTTTCATCATCATTCACTCCATCACTGTCTTGCCAGAGGTGCACTTACACTAGTTATAAAACTGCAACATTAACACCCCTCCTTCAGAGTGCAGGCACTGTACTTCTGATCTCCAGGACTCAAGTCCGGCCTGCCAGTTTCTCTGAATCCCTTCTTAAATGTTACCTTGCTCACACTCCAACAACACGTCACTTTAGAGTTCAAATTAAGAGTCAAGGCAGGTGTAACCTGCCTGACTCTTAATTTGAAGAGTTAATGTTTGTAAAGTGTAACCAGTAAGATAAGGGGCAATCTAACTGAACAACTGAATGCATATGTTTAACAGTAAGGCAATTTAACAGAAAATATAATGTAAACATATTCTGTTCAATAAGACACTTGGAGAGAATGATCTTAGTTTATTTCTATAGAGGCCTGATGCTACTCAATCTTAAAAAAATATAATTACAGTATATACTGGATGTCTATCACTAAACATTTTTAAGCTCAGAATACTTGAAATACTGTTGTATGTTCTCTGTGAACTGAAATTACTATATTAATATCAAAACTTGCTAAATTTTCCAGGTGCTGAAACAAACAGGTGACCAGTGTTCTTTAGCAGTGCTCAATGTGGGTTTGTATCACACTCCCAGTACTGTACAATATATTAAAAATATGCAAATTATTCTACAACCATAGTAAGGAAACTATGCAGCTGGTACTAGAAGTAGATATCTGAGCTGCCATAAGTGAACTGCTTTACTGTTTTTATTACTGTATTGTATTGCAAACTGCACTAGTGGTGACTAATATTATTATGTAAATAATTTTCATCATATAACATAAAATTTACAGCAAAATACCTTTATATTCATATCTGAAGACTTGAATTTTGGTCTGTACTTATAGTTTTGCATTTGTATTTTATTTGGACTTGTAGTTTTTGTATTGGTATTTTATAAGTGAGGGTTTCCAAAAATAAATATTTGCATTTGAATTTTGTTTCTAGATTACAGTAGTATTTATATTTGTATCTGTATGTGAGTGTTTGACCCTCATCCCTGCCCCTACTCAAGTTGAATTCAAAACCCTTGCCTAAAAAATTCAATCAGAAAATGCCTGACACAGGTAATGTTGCACTTGAAAACAAAAATGAATACATATCTTACCGGAGATTTTAGTGATCTGTAAATGAATTTTGATGCTTGACCACAATATTCTTCATCAGAAACTCAGTCACTGCAGACACAGAGAGCACACATACAGCTTCTTCATATCTTGCTTAACTAACAGATAACAGCACAGTGTCATAAGTGACACATCCTCAACTACCCTACCCATTAAATAAGGTGTTCCCAGGGTAGGATCCTGGGCCCTCTTTTCTTCCTCAGATAAAAAAAATTAGTCACATATGTAACACCTGAGTATCTTTATTTGAAGATGTTTCACTAACCAGTGGCTTTATGAACTCAACAGTGATACAGGATATACTGGACATGTCTAATTCCTCATTTTGTCATCACTGTATATCACTGCTGTAATGACACCTGCCTGACACACCAAAGAAACTTGGTGCAGAGAATATCTGCTAGAATCAGTCCACCCACCTGTGGGTGGACTGATTTAGTTTTATTAAGACTAAGGTACTGAACACCGGCTTCTAGGCTGAGAGACTGATTAATTTTGGTACCTCATCTTCCACTGTCTTCTGTGAATAGCTCTACAAGGCTCAGAGATTTATTACTTCATATCTTCTATTGTCTCTGTATATCCCTGCATTGAACTGATAAAGCCATTGACTGGCAAAATGTCTTCAAATAATGATACCCAGTTGTTGTGCATGTGTCTAATTCCTCAACTATAATTTCTAATAAACTAAAAAATATTACACTCGGATGATAATAAATAAACTCACTCATAATACAGTTAGTACCCCACCTATATTAATGCAATCCTCAAAAGTGATAAACCAACAAGAGTTATTCAGTATTACCTGGAAGAAGTGAAAGAGATGGTAGAAGAGAATAGATGGAGGTGCTGATGGAAGGACATCAACAAAAAGGTAAGTTGGGAAAAGTCACAGTTTATGCAGTAAATCAGTAATAGTTACAATATATAGAGTGAATGTGCATTAAAGGTGGGATCTCAGAGATTATAGCAACATTAAGCGGTATAGTTGTTGAAGATAAAGCTTCTTAAATGAAGGACTGCTCTTCTGATTAATGGGATCAGTTGTTGCTGACTGTGGGACTAATATGAATTTGTCTAATAAGTCAAATAAATTCTTTTGACAATAATCCACTATTTTCTTATCATACTATGTAAGCTTGAAAAGTGCAACAGAATAGAGTTAATTATGCTAATGGTCATCAGAGTAAGAGCTTGTAATGATGACAGTAAAGCTGCCGAACAAGGTGTTGAAAGTAGTTTATCAAAATATAATATTTATAATAATAAATGCTGATTAAGATCATAGAGAGGACAGGAACAAACTTGAGTGTAGAAGCTTCTAAATGAACTACTGTTCATAACTGGTGACTTCAGCACTTGAGCATACCTTGCAGTTCTGTGATGACAGTGCACTTTCTTTTCTTGCGCCTCATCTCTCGCTAGTATTCTATGGGTTGAAGTTCACAATGAAGCTTTAATATGCGACTATTAATCTGCATTCTTCTATGCAGACGCCAAAAGCTCTGCAAGGAAAGATTAGTCTTCAATAAAGACTTGTTGACAACGTGTAAGCTAACAAGAAGGTGATGAACTGAGTAAGCTAACAAGGATATGTATACTGGTAAGCTAACAAGTACGGTGAATACTGAATTTAATCAAACCAGTTGATAATTTGGTTAAGCTAATAATAAGAGATAAACTGGTATGCTAGTAATAGAGAGATAACTGGTAAGCTAGTAATAAGAGATTACTTAGACTGCCTAGTAATAAAGAAACTGTGTATGCTAGTAATAAGGATAACTGGTAAGCTAGTAATAAGGATAACTGGTATCTAAAAGACATAACTGGTAAGCTAATAATAAGAGATAACTGGTAAGCTAGTAATAAGAGATAACTGGTATGCTAGTAATAAGAGATAACTGGTATGCTAGTAATAAGAGATAACTGGTAGCTAGTAATAAGAGATAACTGGTAAGCTAGTAATAAGAGATAACTGGTATGCTAGTAATAAGAGATAACTGGTAATGCTAGTAATAAGAGATAACTGGTAAGCTAGTAATAAGAGATAACTGGTAAGCTAGTAATAGAGATAACTGGTATGCTAGTAATAAGAGATAACTGGTATGCTAGTAATAAGAGATAACTGGTAAGCTAGTAATAAGAGATAACTGGTAAGCTAGTAATAAGAGATAACTGGTAAGCTAGTAATAAGAGATAACTGGTAAGCTAGTAATAAGAGATAACTGGTAAGCTAGTAATAAGAGATAACTGGTAAGCTAGTAATAAGAGATAACTGGTAAGCTAGTAATAAGAGATAACTGGTAAGCTAGTAATAAGAGATAACTGGTAAGCTAGTAATAAGAGATAACTGGTATGCTAGTAATAAGAGATAACTGGTAAGCTAGTAATAAGAGATAACTGGTAAGCTAGTAATAAGAGATAACTGGTAAGCTAGTAATAAGAGATAACTGGTAAGCTAGTAATAAGAGATAACTGGTAAGCTAGTAATAAGAGATAACTGGTAAGCTAGTAATAAGAGATAACTGGTAAGCTAGTAATAAGAGATAACTGGTAAGCTAGTAATAAGAGATAACTGGTAAGCTAGTAATAAGAGATAACTGGTTAAGCTAGTAATAAGAGATAACTGGTAAGCTAGTAATAAGAGATAACTGGTAAGCTAGTAATAAGAGATAACTGGTATGCTAGTAATAAGAGATAACTGGTAAGCTAGTAATAAGAGATAACTGGTAAGCTAGTAATAAGAGATAACTGGTAAGCTAGTAATAAGAGATAACTGGTAAGCTAGTAATAAGAGATAACTGGTAAGCTAGTAATAAGAGATAACTGGTATGCTAGTAATAAGAGATAACTGGTATGCTAGTAATAAGAGATAACTGGTAAGCTAGTAATAAAGAGATAACTGGTAAGCTAGTAATAAGAGATAACTGGTATGCTAGTAATAAAGATAACTGGTAAGCTAGTAATAAGAGATAACTGGTAAGCTAGTAATAAGAGATAACTGGTAAGCTAGTAATAAGAGATAACTGGTATGCTAGTAATAAGAGATAACTGGTATGCTAGTAATAAGAGATAACTGGTAAGCTAGTAATAAGAGATAACTGGTATGCTAGTAATAAAGATAACTGGTAAGCTAGTAATAAAGATAACTGGTAAGCTAGTAATAAGAGATAACTGGTAAGCTAGTAATAAGAGATAACTGGTATGCTAGTAATAAGAGATAACTGGTATGCTAGTAATAAGAGATAACTGGTAAGCTAGTAATAAAGATAACTGGTATGCTAGTAATAAGAGATAACTGGTAGCTAGTAATAAGAGATAACTGGTAAGCTAGTAATAAGAGATAACTGGTAAGCTAGTAATAAGAGATAACTGGTATGCTAGTAATAAGAGATAACTGGTAAGCTAGTAATAATAGATAACTGGTATGCTAGTAATAAGAGATAACTGGTATGCTAGTAATAAGAGATAACTGTAGCTAGTAATAAAGATAACTGGTAAGCTAGTAATAAGAGATAACTGGTATGCTAGTAATAAAGATAACTGGTATAGCTAGTAATAAGAGATAACTGGTAAGCTAGTAATAAGAGATAACTGGTATGCTAGTAATAAAGATAACTGGTAAGCTAGTAATAAAGATAACTGGTAAGCTAGTAATAAGAGATAACTGGTATGCTAGTAATAAGAGATAACTGGTAAGCTAGTAATAAGAGATAACTGGTAAGCTAGTAATAAGAGATAACTGGTATGCTAGTAATAATAGATAACTGGTAAGCTAGTAATAAGAGATAACTGGTAAGCTAGTAATAAGAGATAACTGGTATGCTAGTAATAAGAGATAACTGGTAAGCTAGTAATAAGAGATAACTGGTAAGCTGTATAGAGATAACTGATAGTATAAGATAACTGGTAAGCTAGTAATAAGAGATAACTGGTAAGCTAGTAATAAGAGATAACTGGTAAGCTAGTAATAAGAGATAACTGGTAAGCTAGTAATAAGAGATAACTGGTAAGCTAGTAATAAGAGATAACTGGTAGCTAGTAATAAGAGATAACTGGTAAGCTAGTAATAAGAGATAACTGGTAAGCTAGTAATAAAGATAACTGGTAAGCTAGTAATAAGAGATAACTGGTAAGCTAGTAATAAGAGATAACTGGTAAGCTAGTAATAAGAGATAACTGGTAAGCTAGTAATAAGAGATAACTGGTATGCTAGTAATAATAGATAACTGGTAAGCTAGTAATAAGAGATAATGCTTCATCCATGTTAACTTTTTTACAATTGCTGAAGAAGACAAGGTTTCACTTATTTTGAAATGGTTAGATCTAATTTTAACTATTACTAATTTATAACTGATTATACTTTCTTTCTTTCAACACACCGGCCATATCCCACCAAGGCAGGGTGGCCCAAAAAGAAAAATGAAAGTTTCTCTTTTAAATTTAGTAATTTATACGGGAGAAGGGGTTACTAGCCCCTTGCTCCCAGCATTTTAGTCACCTCTTACAACACGCATGGCTTATGGAGGAAGAATTCTGTTCCACTTTCCCATGGAGAAACTGATTATACATGATTTTAAAATTACTGCTACGTTTACAAACTACAACATTACATACTATACAAGTGTAAGAATTATAGCAAAAAAAAAAAAGCCTGTTATGCAAACCAGGTAAAGTGTATAGTAGAATTATTATTGAAAGAATTAAGAGTAAGACAGAAAAATAGGACTGCAAAAGAACAAGGAAGATTTAGGAAGAGTGGAGGATGTGTAGATCAAGTGTTTACATCAAAGCACATACAGTGTTCATCATTAAAGCAGAGCAGTTCCCCCTCTCAAACCATGACCACAAAATGGGTCACCCTTTTGCTTTGCAACTTTCAAGGGGAAAATTCACCATGACTCATTCATGGCAACCTTCAGCTGTGGGAGTGGACTGATGTCCTTTTCATAGTAGATCTCTCTCTCTACCATAGCCCAGAGGTTATGAGCAGTGTTAAAGCCTGGGGAATTTCCAAGCCAATCATCAAATTCTATGTCCATATACTTTGCTAATAAGCAACAGAGTAAAGATCAACATCACAAACATTAACACAAACACAACATTGTTCAACATACAATTCATACACTGCTTCTTCAAGCCTTTTATCATAGGTCATTTTCATATGCTTTCTAGGACCAACTCTTGAGCTTTTATGACTAGCACAAACACTAAACTTAAAAGTTTAGTCTGTGAGTTTGTTCTTGTTTCTGCAGTGTCAGCCACTGTGTTTCTTAATACCACATTCTTCATATACCCGTGTAAATGAGATGCCAGACTCAACCTTCTTTATCAGTTCAAGTTTCTACTTGACCCCAATGGTAATGACACCAAAAGAACGAAATCTGATGGAAAACTGACGGAATTATGCTCTCGCGAAGTTAGCAACCTCGGCGATATTTACAAATTGGCGATTTCACCCACTTTGAGCCCTATTTTCGGCTAATTCCATTGTTCCAGTTGACCGAACTCATAGCTATTTCTTTAGAACTCCATTTTTTCTATCGATTGAGTACAAGAAACTGCCCATTTACCGATTTCAACTACCCAATAACATGGTCAGAAATTTGCAATTTGGCCAATTTCACGAAAATTAAAAAATATGACAATTTCAAAACAGAGTCCAGAATGAACAATGCAGACATTCCTGGCTCTAAAATAACATTTTCTTTGTTCATCAGTCACGCCTCCAGGCCCCTCTGATATTACTCTTGCTTTCTATTTTGAATTTTTATTCAAACAAAAAATAGAAGATTTACTGTTATGCAGACTACTGCAATATTGTAATAATTGTATAAATAATGTCAACCCATTCATGACTGCATATCAGAATGGCTAGTTGGACATTTATTGGACAATGACATCATTTGTTTACTTTTGAACATTGGCAAAAATCAAACATTTCCCCTACTTTGAGCTCCATTTTCAGGTTCTTTTTATAGTAAAACCAATCAAAATCGCCTCTATTTCTATAATATGTTTTTCATTCTATCAAATGAGACCAAGAAATCGAGAATACAACCATAAATACTATACGAAAATAGACCACAAAGTTTGCATTTTAATTAAAAAAATGGTCGGAGTTTTTTTTCTCATTATACACTGCATGTTGCAGGATTTTTTTTATATGGTGCACACTGACCACACAGACCCATTCTCTCACATGTGGGCCTACCAGCTTTCTCCCGCTTGATTTGAAGCCGCTAGAATATATGAGTATATATACGTCAAAAACAGTGGCTCGTAAGACGTATATATACAACCAAAACAGTCAAAGGGTTAACACTGAGAAACACACTTTTCTTATTGACACCACTGTTTGCTTTAGAGGTCATTGCTAGGTATACTTTACTTAACCCTTTGACTGTCGCAAGCCCCTTTCTGAAACTGTCATTCTGTGTCACAAAAGTTTTGAAAAAAAAAAAATTATTTTTTCTTATGAAATGATAGAAAATCTTTTCCCGGTGGTAATGACACCAAAAGTACAAAATTTAGTCGAAAACTCACGGAATTACGCTCCCGCGAAGTTAGCAGTCTCGGCGACACATACGCATTGGCAATTTTGCCGACTCTGAGCCCAGTTTTTGGCCAATTCCGTTGTTCCAGTTGACCAAACTCATAGCTATTTCTTTAGAACTCTATTTTTTCCATCAGTTGAGTACAAGAAACCGCCCATTTACCGATTTGAACTACCCAATACAGTGGTCAGAAATTGACAATTTGGCCAATTTCACGCAAATTAAAAAAGATGCCAATTTCAAAATAGGGTCCAGAATAAACAATGTAGACATTCTTGGCACTAAAATAACATATCCTCTGTTCATTAGTCACATTTCTAGGCCCCTCTTATATTACTATTGCTTTCTGTTTTGATTTTTTATTCATACAAAAAAATACAAAATTTACTGTTATGCCGACTACTGCATTATTGTAAAAATGGTATAAATAATATCAGTGCACTAGTGAAAGAATATTAGACTCCCCAGTTGACGTGTATTGGATGTGTGGTGCAATTTGCTTACTCCTGAACATTGGTAAAAATCGAACATTTCCGCTACTTTGTGCTCAATTTCAAGGTCGTTTTCATCATGAAAGTAATGAAAATCATCTCTATTTCTGTAATATGTTTTCCATTTTATCACCTGAGACCATGAAAACGAGAATACAACGATTAATACCATACGAAAATATACCTCAAAGTCGGCGTTTTAATCCCAAAAAACGTTCATTTTTTTTTTCTCATTATTCACTGCATGTTGCAGGATTTTTTTTATGTGGTTCACACTGACCACACAGACCCATTCTCTCACATGTGGGCCTACCAGCTTTCTCCTGCTTGATTTGAAGCCTCTAGAATTTACACGTTTAAATACGTCAGAAACAGTGGCGCGTAAGACGTATATATACATGTACTACATAAACAGTCAAAGGGTTAATATGTTAATAAGTTCATGTAAAATGCTCTAAGTCCAGGAAAATATTGAGAATGAATGACAAGCATATGCATGAGTGAGCACCAACAATAAGCTATGGGATAATCTTAGCATGCTCATACAATTGAGTGTATGGTTCACTCAGTACTAAAAGTAAGACATATACACTACCTGCCCATCAGAATTAGCAAATGTTTTTGACTTCTTTTTGCCTCTCTTTTTCTGTGGTTGGCTAATCTTGGGCTCTAGGTTCAAGGTGGTGGAAACGTCGAGTGCAGCTTGTTCTGGCAAACCCTGTTGAATAAAGCAACTTTGAGAAGTGGAAAGAAGGCTCCTTGCTCTGATGTCACAACTTTCATTGCTACATCCAGCACTCTCTCTACCATTACCACTACATTCTACGTGACACAGCATGACCTGCAATCCTCCAGGAAGAAGACTTGTTCTGCTTGTTGCTTGATCCAAGAAAGTAACCCTCATATCATATAACTCCAGCCCCCTGTACAAAAACACATGCCAAGGAGCCCAGCTTTCAGGTTCAGACTGTCTCCCCATCATAGATATAAATATACAGTAGGGCCCTGCTTTACAGCACTTCACTTTACAGGATTTTGCTAATGCAGCAGTTTTCAATTATACCCATTCCTCATTTATTCCGACAATAAATATATTCACTACTCCCTATAAGCTAAGGATAAAAATATTTTAAGGTGTGTACTGTACATATATGCATTCTTTAGGCCTAGCTCTATTGCTCACTTAATATATGATACTGTAAGCATATTATCAGGCATTTATATGCATTTGAAAGTGAAAAAAAAAAGGGGCGCTATGTTTCACTTGACAGCAGTTGCCTGGAACCTAACCTGCTGTATAAGCAGTGCCTGACTGAATAGCAATTTTGGTGTGATAAATGTGGGTTAAAACTTAAATGTTTCTGCCACTTTCCATTGCACTCTATTATTTTTTCTTCCTGAAGACCTGATACTGAAAATTTATTTATAAGAAAACATGTACTTCTTAACACACTGGCCATCTCCCACTGAGACAGGGTGACCTGAAAAAGAAACACTTTCACCATCATTCACACTTATCACTCGTAGCTTGAACCATCACATGTCGAAGAGCACCTGTACTTTTCACCACCAGGACTCAAGCCCGGTTAACTAATATACATAATTTAGTTTTGCCAAAATTGTCATTACTGAATCTACAGTCATTTAGCATTCTTTACCATACAAAAGTAAACTCTCCACATATGCAAAACATGAATGTTTACTGAAAATAATGTCTCTAACGATCGTAGCTGCAAATCAGCATTCTTGTAATTGATTGAATCTAAGGTTCTAAAATTATAAATCTAGGACATCATAAGATCATAATAAGCTGGTTTCGTAAGGTATGCCTGTACACTATACACTTACTGGATCGTCAACCACTTCCTCCTCGGCCTCAAATTCCATGTCTAAATCTGGTTCATTAGCTTCGTCAGTTTCATTTTCTTCTTCATTACGCAGCAGAGATTCCACTTCTTCTTTATCTGTCACATCTACCCAGTCGTTATCCTTGTAAACTTCAAGACCGAGTCCTCCACGCTCCTTCTCAGGGACCTCGTCCACAGTGGGTGGTCTGCCGGCCATCTTGCTCTGTGGTGAATAATACGCAGTGATAACCTTAAAAGAATATGTAAAAAAAGTAAAATATACAGGAGGGCCCTGCTTATTATGCACCCTCTTTTTAGTGTCCCACTTTTTCAACAGTTTTCAACTGAGCCATTAATCATTGTTTTTGCTTTTTTTCCCAATTTTTCAGCTTTTTTGCACAACAGCGTAGTTTGAGAGGGGGGCTGGCATACTTTAATGGCAAGCACTGTTAATCACAAAGCCCTATCTTATTACTGTACATAATACTTTCTTTAAGATCTATAGGCTGGTATCCTTCAATAATACTGACCTTAAGATCTACAGGCAAGTATCCTACAACTTACCTTAAGATTTATAGGCAGATATCCTACAACTTACCTTAAGATCTGTGGGCAGGTATCCTACAACTTACCTTAAGATCTGTGGGCAGGTATCCTACAACTTACCTTAAGATCTGTGGGCAGGTATCCTACAACTTACCTGAAGATCTGTGGGCAGGTATCCTACAACTTACCTTAAGATCTGTGGGCAGGTATCCTACAACTTACCTTAAGATCTGTGGGCAGGTATCCTACAAGATGGTTATACAAGCTTATAGGCACTGGACAACGGCAGATGATGTGAGCAACCCAACATGCTTTACATTTGTTCTTGGGAGTTTCATCCAGCCCAAAACACCTGAGAGTAAGTAAGTAAGTAAGTAAGTAAGTTTATTCAGGTATACACAAATACAGTTACATAGATTTATCATATATAGCAGCATATGTGTAGAGAACCTAGGATAACCCAAAAAAGTCAGACAGAGTGACTTATTTCAGTCTACAATAACTTGATGTGTATGGAAGAAATTGCAAGAAAACACCTGACTGCAAATACAAAAAAAATACCAGTGAAAATAGGAAATGAAACCTGACAATATATGTGTAAGCACATGAAAGCACTCGGGTTTTATTTCTTATTGATGTCTATATATTTTGTAGGTAGTAGGTTGGTAGACAGCAACCGCCCAGGGAGGTACTACCGTCCTGCCAAGTGAGTGTAAAACGAAAGCCTGTAATTGTTTTACATGATGGTAGGATTGCTGGTGTCTTTTGTCTGTCTCATAAATATGCAAGATTACAGGTAAGTCTTGCTACTTCTACTTACACTTAGGTCACACTAAACATACATGTACAAGCATATATATACACACCCCTCTGGGTTTTCTTCTATTTTCTTTCTAATTCTTGTTCTTGTTTATTTCCTCTTATCTCCATGGGGAAGTGGAACAGAATTTGCCTCTGTAAGCCAAAGCTTGTCGTAAGAGGCGACTAAAATGTTGGGAGCAAGGCGCTAGTAACCCCTTCTCCTGTATATATTACTAAATTTAAAAGGAGAAACTTCAGTTTTTTCTTTTGGGCCACCCTGCCTCAGTGGGATACGGCTGGTACGTTGAAAGAAAGAAGAAGTCTATATATTTGATTTTTTAGATGATTAGCAGACAGAGGATCAAGTGAGTACCATTTTTTTGTGCTCTATACTTATACGACCACCAACAATAATAATAGTAATAGTAACAGTAATAATAAAGGAATAATTCTTCATTTCCACATTATACAAAGTTTTTACAAAATTGGATGACATTTAACAATACACATGATAAGCCCCTGACACTGCAGAGCATTCTGGGTTTTGCTCTTCTCCAAGATAATAATATTTCCTCAGGATGGCAATGTTGCCCAACAGCAGAGCAGAACTGGATACAAAACTGAAGCTGTTGACGAGAGAACATAAAAATGAAGGAACACTGCAGAAGGCCTACTGGCCCATACAAGGCAGGTCCTTATCAAAACCATCAATGTATTTGTCCAACCTTTTTCCCAAAGCCACCCAAGAATTTTCTTCAGTACTTCAGGTACCGTACTGATCAAACCCTTTTCACTCATATACTATTTGTCTAATCTCTTTTTAAAGCTACCCAAGGTTTAACCCTTTCAGGGTCGAGAGGCCCTCTCCTAAACTTGTTCTCAGGGTCGAAAATTTTTCGGAAAAAAACAAAAAAAATTCTTATTAAATGAAATGATAGAGAATCGTTTTCCGATCATAATGACACCAAAAGTATGAAATTTGATGGAAAACTTACGGAATTATGCTCTCACGAAGTTAGCGGTTTCAACAATGTTTACGCATCGGCAATTTCGCCCACTTTGAGCCCTATTTTCGGCCAATTTCAGTGTACTAGTCGACAAAAATCATAACTATTTCTCTAGAATTCCATTTTTTCTATCAAATGAGTACAAGAAACCACCCATTTACCGATTTCAAGTATACAATAAAGTGGTCAGAAATTGGCAATTTTGCCAATTTCACACAAATTTCAAAAAATGCCAATTTCCAAATAGGGTCCAGAATAAACAAGACAGACATTCCTGGCACTAAAATAACATTTCCTCTGTTCAGTAGTCACTTTGAATTTTTATTCTCACAAAAAATAAAAGATTTACTGTTATGCAGACTACTGCATTAGCGTAGAAATGGTATATATAACATCAGCACACTTGTGAAAGAATATCAGACTCACCAGTTGACGTGTATTGGACAAGTAGCATGATTTGTTTACTCTTGAACTTTGGCAAAAATCAAACATTTCTGCTACTTTGAGCTCAATTTCTAGGTACTTTTCATTGTGAAACCAATCAAAATCATCTTAATTTCTGTAATATGTCTTCCATTTTATTAATGAGACCAGGAAAACTAGAATACAACCATAAATACCATACAAAAATACACTGCAAAGTCGCTGTTTTAAACCAAAAACACAGTCGGAGTTTTTTTTCTCATTATGCACTGTGTGCTGCAGGATTTTTTTTATACTGTGCACACTGACCACATAGACCCATTCTTTCATATGTAGGCTCACTAGCTTTCTCTCGCTAGATTTGAAGGCGCTAGAATTTATGCGTACTAGGACGTCAATAACCCTGGCACATAAGACGTACTAGTACGTCGGAAACCCTGAAAGGGTTAAGTTTCTACTACCCTATACCCCTCAAGGAAGGTTCCTTGATGCTGGTGAGGGGCTCTTGATCTAGGGAATTGGAACTGTGCTCCCGTTCCCTGAATTAAGTCTGAATACCTTCCACATTCCCCCACAGGTGCTGTATAATCCTATGGGTTTAGCATTTCCCTCTTGATTATAATAATACAGTAATAATAATAATAATAATAATAATAATAATATACCCTATAATTCAGACTGTAGGAGAAAATTATGTACAGTGTTCGAGTGCAGGGCTCACAAATCTAGAGTCATCATCCGAATATGTGCCTTGGCCCAAAATTAAATTATGGTAAATTAAACAATTACTCCAATTTTTGTTCAAAATGTTTTTTATTATTATTCGTGCTAAACCCATGTAGGTATTTCAGAACAAGACAGTGGAGGCTTGATCTTCCGCCTGCTGAGCGAATGGCAGACGTACTCAATTAGATGTTCTAATGTGTAAAATCTAGTGTTATGGTGATGTGCTAAATAGGTATTGGTATCAATATGGTCATGGAGAGAAACTTATTGCAAATCTTAAGTCATGGATAAAAAAAAAAAAGTTTGGAACCACTGTTCTACATCAAGGAAAGATGTTAGAAAAATGCAGAAATAAAAATATAACAAAAAAAGATAAGAATCGAGTACAAAATAATATTCTGGCCTTAAATAACTATTATAAAGCAAATAATGGGATCAACCTTCAAAGTTAACACAAGAAAACAGCTCACAGTTTATAAAATACCTAATAACAACTGCCGTCAATATGTGTGCAGTAAGCACACATCAAGAAACACCTCTATGGACCTGAACATTCACTTGATACTCAAATGTCCTTGTGTGCCTCTATTTTACTGCATTAGCTTTATTACTGCCCTGTACTATTCCTTTTGATAAGACACATATATAGATACCTAACTGCTGTATATGTGAATTACTTATCAACTTGTCGGTATTTTATACCATTTCCACATATACTATTCCTCTTGCATGTTTATAGGTAGTGGCACCTAGGTTTATGAAATATAGGAATACAGTGCCTTTTCCAGATCATGCAGTGACTGAAATACACCTAGTTGTGTTCCACAACCTGCACTCCTAACACTACTTTGTCCATGGAAGTAAAGAGGGTAATGTATGAGAGTATAATTATACCAACACTCTTATATGGGTGTGAAGCATGGGTGGTGAATGTTGCAACAAGGAGAAGGATGGAGGCAGTGGAGATGTCATGTCTGAGGGCAATGTGTGGTGTGAATATAATGCAGAGAATTAGTAGTTTGGAAATTAGGAGGTGCAGGATTACCAAAACTATTATCCAGAGGGCTGAGGAGGGGTTGTTGAGGTGGTTTGGACATGCAGAGAGGCTGGAACACAACAGAATGACTTTGAGTGTATAAATCTGTAGTGGAGGGGAAAGCCTGGTAGAGGTAGGCCTAGGAAAGGTTGGAGGGAGGGGGTAAAGGAGGTTTTGTGTGTGAGGGACCTGGACTTCCAGCAAGCATGTGTGAGCATGTTAGATAGGAACGAATGGAGACAAATGGTTTTTAGGACTTGACATGCTGTTGGAGTGTGAGCAGGGTAATGTTTATGAAAGGATTAAGGGAAACCGGCAGGTTGGACTTAGAGTCCTGGAGATGAGAAGTACAGTGCCTGCACTCTGAAGGAGGGGTGTTAATGTTTCCGTTTTATAACTGTAGTGTAAGTGCGCCTCTGGCAAGACAGCGATGGAGTGAATGATGATAAAAGTTTTTCTTTTTCGGGCCACCCTGCCTTGGTGGGAAATAGCCAATGTGTTAATAAAAATATTAAAATGCCATTCATACACACTACTATTCAATCTACATGTCTGAAGCACTCCACTGTAGTGCTGATGCTCATCTCAGGCATCATATTCAATGCCAAAAAGATGTGGAATATTTTAACAAACAAAAAGAAAAATAGCAACATTGTCACTGAATTCAAAGTCAAGCTAAAACAAGCACTGTGTACTTAATTAAATGATGTAGTCAAATTATTCCACCATATCATCCACCCTTTTAACAAATTCTATTTGTAACTTGCCTGTATTGCTGTAATGGTAACTCTATATATTAGCTACACTTTTAAGCTACTTTTATCTATGTTTGCTATATTCATTAAAATTGCTTTTATATATTTTAAATCTATGTAGCTTTCGTGTCTTTAGGTACATATATAAATATTTTCATGCTTTATGAATCTTATATCTTAATTTATAGATTTGCCAAAGTGCTCTGCATAACCAGGGGCTTTCTATGCAAACTGCAATCTTCAATGTTACCTTTGTGAAATAAAATATTAAAAATATTATTTAAGAATGCACCTGACAGTGTGCACACCCACCTGCCTCCCTTGTTACAGTTCAAAATCCAAGGTTGCTTCTTGAAACGCTGATAAAACTGTCGACACGCTTCACAAGCCACAACTCCTGCGATGCGTGTAATACCTCGGTGAATTGAATAGAACCGCGTAGCCTTGCAGACACCACACTCCACTCGTATTCTCTTCATGGCCAACCTTCCCTCCTCTGTATCTGTGCAGAGAATCATATATGTCATGTGTCAAGCAATGCCATTCTTGTTGATAACTGGTTCAGAGAACCAACAGGTTGATGAATTAGATACTTGTGCAACACTTGGGTATCTTTACTGTGGAAATGTTTTGCCAACCAGTAGCTTCCTCAGTCCAATACAGAGAAGAATGGTGAAACATTTCTACAATAAAGATACCCAAGTGTTGCACAAGTGTCTAATTCATCAGTACCTTCCAGAACTGTCTGCCTTCAATCAATAGCCTTTCAACAGCAACAACACCCCTTCCTCAAAGGAAATAAATATAATAGCTACAGTGTTAAGCATTATTTTGTTAGTCAAGACAGTTTTAATCATTAACTCTATGCCTCCAGAATTATTTCAAACAGCACTCACATTATACATAAAATTAATCCTAGATGTTGTGTAATGAGTGTATACTAGTAATGTGTAGGGAGAGGGTACTACTAGTACAATACAATTTTTATTTCTTTATTCAGTACAAATAATGTACTTTATCTGTAATAAAAACTGGTAGGCACAAAAGAAAGTGACTAGTATGCAATGCAATTCAGGCAAACCAATCCTAATGCTTAAATGTTACTTAAGATTTAGACACGGACTATTAAGTAGGATTTCTTATGCAGTTAAATACAATCATACATACAATATGAAAGGTAATTGATGAACAAATGATTAATTACAAAAGTACGACTTATTATTTCAAACCGATTTAACAGTCTTCAGTTTTGCAGAGGGACTGAATAGAGATGGTGAAGATACAGCACATTATTTACATTACAACAGAAATACAATGGGACAAGAAGCATTACCAATTTTCTATGACTGTAGTTAACTGCATAAGAAATCCTACTGAACAGTCTATGTTTAATTCTTAGGTAGTCTTTAAGCATAAGGATTCATTTGCCCAAAATGCATTTGCATATTAGTGGCCTTCTTCTGTGCCTACCAATGCTTTATTACATGTAAACCACATTATTTATTGTACCACAAAAAGAAATAAAAATTTGAATCTGAATTTGAAGAAAGGCTGGAAGAAGAACAGGGACAGAACTGGATGAAACCTGGTACTGTTTGACGTAGCATACTGCTGCCTCAGTCATGTTACTGAGATGGGGTGTTTTTTAACAATAGCTCTGAATCAATTGGCAGATAGGGGGTCTTTCAATGCTTCAGGCAAAGAATTCCAGATCTTAGAGCATTTTATGCGCATTAAGTTTTTGCATGGAGGGATGTCAAAGAGGATTTTGTGTCTTGTGTTATGCCTGTGTGTTCTGTTGCTGCTATCAAGGAAAAGTTTCAAAGATGTTGTATAATATGAGTGTACCAGTAATGTTATGCTAGGTGTACCAGCAATGTTGTGTTGAGTGTACAAGTAATGTTGTGTAATGTGTAGTGAGGGTGTACTACCAGTAATGAGTAGTGAGGGTGTACCTGTAATGTACCTGTACTGTACAAAGCTTTTCAGGAAGACAAGAACTAGTACTAACAACCATTTGATACTAGTACAAGTATGAAGATAATGCACTCATAAATGGAAAAGCAATTCTGAGCGAGAATTCAGCATACAGTTTCTGTATTCAGGTTAAGTACAGCAGTTATATTAAGGCACTGAAATAACAATTTACTGAGCTTGTGGTAAAAGATGTATTAGACACAGTAAACATTTATGATCCTTATGTTTAAGATACAGGTATGAGAAATGAAATTAATCAGATTTTAATTTAGTTCAAGCGGTGTTTTTGAAGGTATCAGTAGACAGATAGTTTCTTGATCCTTCAGATAGGTCGAGTCCTTTTATGTGCATGGAGTGATTCAAATATATTCAACACGAATCTCATATTTCCATAATAGTGAGCTATATATCACATTGGTACTATGCACCACATTGGTACTATGTACCACAATGGTACTATGTACCACAATTAACACTACATACATACGTAGCCTACTATAATACTCTTCAATCTTCAGCTATGGTACAGTATATACAAGAGGATCTACTACAGCAAATCATCTGTAAATTCATTACCCAACAAAAATCCTGTATGTAAACAATATTGGAGTCATTGTGACTGCAGACAACACCTTCAGCATTCAAACACTTGAACCTACATAGCATACACGGTGTCCACATATACTGCTGTGCATATTTCATATACAGAACACTCAATGCAAATACTAGCCCAAGCCAAATACAATTAGTGGAGAGTTTCAATAAATCATGTGAGGATAATACAAAAAATAAATATTTTTTGGACATTCCATGAGCAAAATTTGGCCTGAGTAAACACTCTATGCAAGTCAAAAAGATCGAAATTTGGAACTTTCTTGAAGGATTGAGAAACCCTTCATGTCCTAACATCAAAAACACTGTCATAAAGCATCTTTTGAATGCAATGTAATAATCTAGCTGATTGATTAGATATAAAATTTGATATGTAATGGTCGTATGTTTTTATTATGTGTGATATTTTTTTACTACTAGTTTAGTCAAATTTTTCCTCGCTGCTTTAATTAAAAGTAATGTGCTTAAATATAAAAATCAAATATGCTAAATTCTCTTGAAATTACTGGTTTAACTAATAGTTATTCAATCCATATGTGTACTAGTAATAAAGTAGTTATAAGTACTAATATAATCTGCCTGAAATACCCTACATAATAAGGGGCTTTCCAAAAACCTTATACATACTACTGTATATCACCTTGGTAAAGCCCCATATATCTTAGAATATAACTGAATATACTATTAGCTTTACACTTGTACATGCATGTATGGCTTTGTTTATTGGTTGACTACACATAAGCTCATGTTTAACATTGACAAGACCATCTAATTGATGTTTGAGAACAAACCAACAAATGTCCAACTAAACGTTATGATTAACAGTTCTCCCATTGCTAAACAAACTGAAGAAAACTTCTTAGGTCTGTTCTAGACTGCAACTTAAAATTCAACACCCACATCATAAAGAAAGTATCCAAATTAGTTAGCATCCTCTCCAAGATACATTACTTTGTACCTTAAACAGCAAAACCTTACATTATACTACTGTCTAATATATCCTACCTCACCTATGTTATTTGTGCTGGGGGATCCATAACAGTAAATCACCTAAAGCCAATAATAACTCAACAAAAAGCAACGGTATGAATGATTACCCAGTCTACTGCCAGACAACACACTTCCCCACTCTGCAAAGATCTACTTAGTATACAAAGAATTCACTCATACTACTGTGCATATTACATATAAAGGACAATAAATTCCAATATCAAAATTCCAATATCAATCCTGCCCTGAAACACTCATAGGTATAATACTAGACACAAAATTTTGTATATTTCCCACGTCTGCTGACCTAGAAAATGTACAGAGAACCTTCACGGCGTGCATAACAGAGATAAAACACCTCAATTACTGGGAACGCTTGAAGTTCCTGAACCTGTATTCCCTGGAATGCAGGCGGGAGAGATACATGATTATATACACCTGGAAAATCCTAGAGGGACTAGTACTGAACTTGCACACGAAAATCACTCACAACGAAAGCAAAAGACTTGGCAGACGATGCAACATCCCCCCAATGAAAAGCAGGGGTGTCACTAGCACGTTAAGAGATCATACAATAAGTGTCAGGGGCCTGAGACTGTTCAACTGCCTCCCAGCATACGTAAGGGGGATTACCAATAGACCCCTGGCTGTCTTCAAGCTGGCACTGGACAAGCATCTAAAGTCGGTACCTGACCAGCCGGGCTGTGGCTCGTACATTGGTTTGCGTGCAGCCAGCAGTAACAGCCTGGTTGATCAGGCTCTGATCCACCAGGAGGCCTGGTCACAGACTGGGCCGCGGGGGCGTTGACCCCTGGAACTCTCTCCAGGCAAACTCCAGGTAATCATTGCAAAAACTCTGTGTGCATAAAAGGACCTAAAATGTGAAATTCTCTAATACATGAAAACTCATCACTCTCTGTCTGCCAGTTGCTTCAAAGCTACTGTTAAAAACACCTCCTTTCCCTAATGTGATCCTAACAACAATTAATTATGCTGAAGAATTCTTTGAACCTGTATTGTTCCTGTCTTTGTCTATCATTCATCACATGTACCTAGCTTCTTTCCTAATATATATCTAATTACACTTCTTATTCTCATATTCAGTGGTCCCTCGCTTTTCGTAGTTCTCGGCAATCGTAAATTTCGCCAATCATAGGGGTATTTTCGTATAAACATGGACTCGCTTTTCATATGTTGACTCGCGAATAGTAGTTCGTCTGGGACGCATACGCACGGTGTGAGCTGGGGCGGCGTCCCTACCCAGCCAGTCTGGCATTGTTTACCAGTGAGTGAAGGTCCCCTCAAGTGCTCCTACGAAATATTTCATAATCCACTCATTTTAGTGCTTGCAATTACTAAATAAGCTACCATGGCTCCAAAGAAAGCTTCTAGTGCCAAGCCTGTGGTAAAGAAGGTGAGAAATATGTACAGTGACTAAGTCTTGGGCCATTTTCGGGAAGTGTTAAAGAGACGCCAGAAACAGAGCTCTCTCCACAGTTACTTTGCGAGACAGGACTAGAGTGACTCTCAAGGTGGTCCTAGTGGCATTAAGAAACAGAGAAGAGAAGCAACCCCAGAGAAGCAATTGGTACCTGAGGTGTTGCTGGAAGGGGATTCCCCTTCCAAACTGTAAACAATCCAATCTCTCTCCTCCTCCAGTCTCCCATACACTAAGAAGAATCTCCAATAAAGGTAAGTGTTATACTGTTAATGTTTCATTCATATGTACTATATGTATATTTCAAGTAAAAAATTTTTTTGTTTTAATACTACTGGGTGTCAGGAACGGATTAATTGTATTTACATTATTTCTTATGGGGAAAATTGATTCGCAAATCGTAAATTTCGTTTATAGTAACGGCTCCAAGAACGGATTAATTACGAAAAACGAGGGACCACCGTACTTGTAATCATTCATAATTT